AACTGACGCACACCTAAAGCCCGATAGCCGCCTGACTCTGGGATTTTTCTGGACGCTCCAATGAATCTCTCATCCCTGCTGTCCATCCAGTAATGCCTCTACCGACACTTTTTTTTTCTTCCTCCTCTCCTTCGTCCACTGTCTTTTGTCGCGTTTCAGCGCTCCTGGCCACCTTGCGCCAGCCATTGGTTCTTATTAGAGTCCGGACAAGATTGCCCTCCCTTCCTCTGCGCGCTCCCACCGCGACAGCACACGCCTCCATCCATCCATCCATATAAAGAACACATCATTTGGCCACTTATGTTAACACCGTGAACCCCATCCCCTTATCAAAATACTGTAAAGTTTAGGCATAAAAAACTGAAAAGTTGCAACAAAGATAATACACAAATCTATTTCAGTATTTTGTTTGTTTGTTTGTTTGTTTTGGTTGAGACAAAATGTTCATTATAAATACGCTTTAAAAACACAAAATGTAGGATTCATATGGAGCTTTTACAGTAGCTTAAATTTCCAAAGTTTCTTGTCAGTTGAGTTACTTTGAGCTAACATGTCCTTGCCTCTGTTTGCTCATCCCTCCCACTGCACACTCATGCTTCTGTTATAAATAGACAAGAGTTGAAGGTGAGGACCTAAAGATGGAGCACAAGTGTCCAGCCTTGACACCCACAGACTATGACTTACAGTGCTGCCTTCCTGTGTTTGGGGAACTAGCCTGACCCTCCTGAACTAAGCGCACCCAAGACCTCTTTGGTGGAAACACCCGCTGGCCCTATCATCAATTTATTATTTTTATCCACCCTAGAACAATAGCGGCGAGAATTATAAAAATGTGTCTGATAATGCCCAAAGTGGGAGCAGAAAAGAAAGTAATCACCGTATCTCAAGGGTGGGACATCTGTAATCGCAGAGGGAAGCTTAAATTAATGGCAGATTAAAGGTCAAAGTGCATGTCACTGTCCTATCTCTGGCTTCCTGGACCTAATACATCAGGCCTGTTTCTGCACTGTGGCTGTTTCAGGGAAACAGAGCAGCGGAGGCCTGTCCTTACTGGATGTTTCAAATAGTATATGTCTTGATGTTTGTTGTAACTGAAGATAATAATTTTTAAAAAAGAAGAAGAAGAAAAAAAAGACTTATTTATAAAGTGACTTATTGTACCCTAAACATTTCATTTTGCTCAGGTCACTGAGCTCCACACTGACCATGGAAATGCACTCTCGCTGGGGGAAGTTTCTAGATGATCCCAGGATGTTGTAGGGAGGGGTAGTAAGGCGAAGCTGCATGTTCCTGTCCTTATGATAAACACGGAGAAAGGTTCAAGTCTGGCTTAGGCAACACAGATGAGAGATATCGGCCTTTGTAACAAATGCAGGGAATAACTCAATCAAAAAAAGTAACAAACACTTTCATATCTACAATTACTCACATCAGTGTTTCTCTTCAAAGCTATACAAGAGAAAAAAGATTTCCATCTGACATGAAAGGGAAAGGAAGGAAGCAAACATCTGTGGGCTGGAGATGGAAGAGAAAAAAAAAGGTCATTATTATTAGTTTTTATTTTGGTGCCCCCCATCCTCCAGCCTCCCCCTGCCTCCTTCTGGCTCTTAGCATTTTACTCCCCCATTTCAGGATGGGAGTACATGACTGGGTGAATGGTTCAGTTTCCTGCAAAGCCACAGCACAGAAAACGAGATCTTTCCTGCTTGGGTTAGGCTACCCTGCTTTGTTTCTTCCAAACAGACGGCTGTGCTTGCACCTGAGCTGAGTGCCTTTGCACTTACAGGTGCGCTGTGAATTTGGGTCACACTCGACGAATAGCCGATATCTCAGAATGCAGCGAGGGTTTGAAATTAGGATTCAGTAAAACAGAAGTAGCATTTTTTAAACAATCCAGCTTTGACTTTTCAAGTGTTAGTCTTGTCTCATAGAGCTGATTAGACATTCTGCAGGATCCACTTCCTCAGATGGAGGCCATTAGAAGAGTTTCCGAGGGGGGTGAGGGCAAGGAAAGTCAAGGAACTGACACCTAACCGTCTCCCCCCACTCTCACACCCCCATTTTCACTGCCCACCACTGTCTGTCACTGTGTTATCAGTGCAGGAAGCGCAGGGTGGTGCATTCTAGTGCAGCTGCACACACTGTATTGTAACTCTGGTTTTGTATTTAATGCATCAGTTTGTGTCATGTTTTCACGTTTAATTCAGGTGTGCCACATATAGGGATGTGAGACGTCTACCTTAGCATGTTATGGCTAAGATTAAGCAGGGATGCAGGTCATAAAAAATACAAAATAAAAATAAACGGAGTACCAGTGAAGTCGAGGCGATGCTGCACGAAAGTGGACAATAGACTGCGAAGGGTGGAACTTCCTGGCTGCTGACAAGCAGGTCAAAGGTCAAACATGATGCTATACCTTCTGCTAATTCCATCCCCAAAATTCATTGACATTGTGCAGTAGTGTGCAGCAGACTTGAGTCACCCCTCATCTCTAGATATCTTCCTCCCAAGGAACCAGATTTTCTTGTCTCGATTTCAGTCCAGTCCTCTTACCTAACCGGAGGAATGGTTCTGTTTTCTTTGTTTGTTTGTTTGTTTGTTAATCCTCTTAATATTGGTTTAAGCAAACATAAAAAAGCACTTAACACAAGGGATGAAACAGAATTGTGTTTATTCAGCTAACAACTTAGCACAGAGCCGTTAGTCTTTCAGCACGTTGTTACCAGAAGCGTGTCACAGAAACACGTAATCTGTTCCCATTTCTTTATCTGAATTTACAAAAATGCCCATGATAACAGAGTTTGACAGACACAGAATAGTATTTTCACCATCAAGGTGATTCACAAAGAGCTATTAACCAAAAACGTATCGCTGTATATCTCTGTATGGTGTGCAGTTTCCTAAAAAAAATAAATAAATTTGGAAACTGGAAGTAGTGGGAAGCCTGAAGTAGATGAAGCAGATGAACAGCATCTGAAAGCCACAAAAAAACAGGAAAAAGAAAATCCAGCAAGGCCTAACACAGGACCTGAGAGATAATCCACCGTTCACTGAACCCTCATCAGAAGCTGTCTCAGTGGACGGTGGCTGTGAGGGTGTTAAGGAACGGAAATAGGGAGAAAAATCGGAGGTATGCCAAATTAAACAACTATTTCTGAAGAATACTTCAAGAAATAATAAAAAAGCTTGAGTTTGGACTGTGTCGAAAAATAAAAGTAGTTGCATCGTAGACTTCATGTCCATTAGATTTGTAAAAATCTAGGTTTTTGCACTACATTTGCATTTGTTTTGCACGTTTCAATAAATCCCTGCACCTATTTTCCCATTTCCCACAAAATATAAAGAATTGAGGGGTGTCTCAAGACTTCCCCACACTAATGTGTGCATTAAATACTGTTCACTTGGATTTCTCAGAGTAAATTGTGATGATAAGGTTTTTGAACCACTCACACAAACACTGCATCCTTCACCCGATGAAACAAAAGGCCTGTGGCAGTCGACTGTGTGAAGCAAGTGTGCCGTGAGTGTGCACACAGGATGGCGGGCAGCTATAGCGAGTGGACAGTGTGGCCCATTATCAGCTGATTAGCGAGCAAGTCTCGCCTTTTCCGGACTGATTCTGTATTTGCAAGTGTAGAAAAGAGGGAATAACAACCCTTAATGCACTTTGGCACAAACTTCAAATGACCGACTGTCAGGAAAGCTACTCTGTGTCTTTTTCCCCCCACTTCATTCTTATGTTTTGACAATAAAGATAGCCTATCTCATCCCATAACAAGCTGGCTGTTTCCCGCCTTTTCCCTGGCAGTCCCGACATGCATTACTATAGCGTGTTACCGAAAGGACCGCTGAGACACTTTGATTGCGTCGCTATCAAGCTTTACTTTCTGCTACAGGGGAATTGTGATATCTTAGTGTTACACCAACCACTTCCAAGGCTGACAGTGATAGTTAGGGTTGTTTTACGATGCAAATGTGCGCACACAGTGCTCCAGTAAGACAAATCATTCAATCCAGTTGGGCTGTAGCTGGTAAGCTCTTAAGGCTAAAGAAAAGAAAAGATTCAAGCACAAACTGCACCATTTCTCCAAGGTGCAGAACTGGTTGTTGTCAAGAAGGACTTTCAGGAGCACAGAGGGTAAAAACCCTCATAAATAAATTTTAAAAACATGTTTAGCATCAATAATCAGAAGTCCGAAGTGCAATTTTCTAGTCACATCCAAAGAAAATAGAGAATAATGGGTGTAAATTCAAAATCACCAACTTTTAGCCCCATCATTAAATGCATCAGTCTGGGTTTGTTCAAATATAAAATCACATTTAACAAAATCTAAATTTTCACCCTGTTTCTGAAATCACACCAACAGTTCTTTCGTATGCACCTTTTAACTGCCTATAGTGTCACCGGCCTGCAGATGTCCGAGTAATGTTACGGCGACATCTGAGTTCATTTCCTGTTAGCAAAGGAAATGAAGTTCAAAAACAAAACCTAAACAAAATAATCTTAATTAAAACATCCAAAGAAGCAAAACAAGAGATGCAAGAAAAAAAAAAATCAACAGGGAGAAATTAATCAGCTGGGCTTTTCTTGAACAGACTTTAGATAAAAAAGAAAGAAAAATAGGAAATGAACAATAGGCGAGGGAAAAGGAATGAAACAAAGGAGGTGGGTGGTGGGGATGTGAAGGAGTGATCGTAAGTGAACGCCGCTTCTCCTGATTTGGAAGGTTATCTGGCATTTGCATCAAAGTGGCGAAAGCATGGGCAACGGCTGCAGTGGCGTCGCGGGTGGACGCCGCTGACAGACAGGCCCAAATACAGCTTTCTTCTGCTGCTGATTAAAGTAGTGCACTAAAGGGTGGAGGGACACGGAGGACAGATGTCTCTAACCAGTAACACACCCACTACAGGCCACATGTTAGAAGATGTAACTGCATCAAAGAAATGAATAAATAATAATAACCTTGATGTGTTCAAAGAAAAAACAAAACGCATACAAAGAAGTCAAAAACACATTTTTATTGATTATCGTTCAAAAACATTCACATAATAGTTTAAAAAAGTAGTATGTAGGAAAATCTGAAACAACAATATTTCAAGTTTTCTTTTCGAAATCTTTCAGAACAACTAAACATTTTCTTTAACTGTTTGAAAAGAGAGTAGTAATAAATCAAAATGTAAAGTATGGATTCCCAAACAACCATAAATAATAAAAACAACACACGATGCCCGAAAAATCCATAAGAACTTTTTCAGAACAAGTGAAATGAGTAAACCTCAGAGTTGTCCACATATAATGCATATAATAACTAACCAGAGAGTTAGGGGTTATATTGCCATTGGACTTAAGAGATAGTGTCCCCTGCTGGTCAAACCAACAGCAAATAACCTGCTGATACAGCAGCAAAAGTAACCTGTGACACAGGATCACAAACACATATCAGATGATGAGATAACGCTGACAGTAGATGATCTAACCTCTAAAAAAAGCCTGACGGCCACATTGCTGTCCCAAAATATTCTGACATTATCTGATGCGTTCACTCCAGTTTCCGACACAGAGGAATGAGATGAAGCAAAATAAACATCACAGGAAATTAACTGAAAACATAACTTTTGCTAAAGTTAAAAAGTGTGCTTTTACATATACAATATTGCACTTTCCCCACACAAATGCTTAATGATTCACAGTTTGATTGTTTCTTTAAGGCAGCGAATTCCCACTAGTGAGTGTCACATGGCATTCAAATACATTTTATAAGACAAAGTGTAAAGCTTTCAGTTTTTTGTTTTTGCTTTTTTGTGTAAAGTCAAGCCGTCATACAAAATGCTCTTAATCCTACAGGTAACCTCAGTGTGTAAAAGACAAACAAAGAGCTCCAACACTGAGACCATCACGTCAACCTCACATTCCCTGTGTGTAACCCGCAGATCCACAGACAACTGAACTGCTCTCTGTCCCATCGGCTCCCCACTAACGACTTCCTTTTATTAACCAACATAACACTGGTGCAGACTGGAACATCCAAACACATGGAAGTAGAAGATCTTCCAATCTTAAAATAGTGGTGGTACTTAAAGAGGAAGGCGTGGGGAAGCCGCAAAGAAAGAGAGAGCACTCAGTCGACCTGAAGGAGGAAGAGGAAATTATGTCACAGCTACAATGCAATATTTCAAAATAACTCTGCTGACTTTCACATGTGTCAGACAAACGGCTGCTAAAGGATCCACTTTTTACAAGGCGTGACTTTGCAGGGGGTATTGCTCTCTTATCGTTGCTAATATGGCTTAAATCCCTTTTCCCCTTGATCCAGTCACACCTGTGACTCGGTAACCACTTGTACCAGTATTTGCCTTTGCAGTCAAAAAGCAGTATAAACTTGGACCCTGATATATTGGTCACTGAACACAGCATCAAGCGGTGCTCCCACTGGACACATTGCAAACAGACTCACATTCTTCAGTCTCTTCACACGTGGTGACCTGATCCATGTACCAGCTGGCAAAGAGACTGACCTGTGAATGCCTTTAATCCACCGGGTACACCTCTGAAATGGCTCAGTTTTTATAGTTTAGGAAAGGCAGTCGTGAGAAGAAGAAACAAAAAAGTCACTGGATTTTAGACAATCCACTGGCCAGGAGGAGCCTGAAGGGGACGGTGGAGCGTGACACAGTTAAAGGTAGTCTGTGGAGACCTGTACAGAGAGAGAAAAAGGACTATAATATCACACAATCAAAAGGTGGAGCATTACATTTGCAGAGCTAGGAAAAATTGTGATTTAAGTGAATTGAAAGTCTATTAACCACAGAACAAAAGTATGCTGGGAGGCAATGGGAAAGTGCAGCAGAGCTGCCACAGCGCAGAGATGCTATCTGGAGTGTGAGGAAGGCGATTGTGTGTATGCATGTGTGAGTTTGGCGTGCCCATGCTCCGAGTGGTTGTTTGTGTTGGGTGGAGGTTCGGAGGGTGTGTGTGTGTGCTGTGAGGGGTCTAGGGCGGTGTGCCTGAAGGTCCCCAAGGAGACCTGACTCTCCTCCTGTCCCTTTACAATTTCCTGAAAGAATTGTATTCTTTCTATCTGAGGAAGAGAGACCAGCCCATAGGGAAATGGGGCCAAAGGTGGGGAAAGTTATGAAAGAGATATCCAAGTGCAATGAATTTAAGCACAGCTCAGTCTCACTGACAGAAAAAAAAAAAAGTATATGCTTACAAACGTTTTTCACTTTGCTTCATAAATTCAAAATGAAAGTAGACTGACCAAAGGCACGGATGAGCTCTCTTTGTACTGCCCAGGTGACCGTCTTTATCAGGGAGGCAGAGGTGAGGCCAGCAAACAGCATGTTGTATAGAAATACAACGTAGAAGTTCCCAAGCCAGTTATATCGACCAAAGTCTCCCAGTAGGTCGAAACGGGTGATCCCTAACACGAAATGACAGAAGCAAAACTTGTGAAAAATGTGCCAAAGCCCCAATTCACCTGCAGGCACAATATTCATGGCATACACACGCCCTCCTGTGGACATCATTAAAACTACACAAATGCTTTCTTTTATAGATGCTGTCAAAGCAGAGTCAGGGTGAACTTTTTATTTCATGTAACGTCAAAGACAATGTTGTTGTTTTCCATTACAGTCTAACTAACTTATTAGTATTTCATGTACACAGTGGATTGTTAAGATTGTGTAATGTACATAAACATAAACATAAACATTCAAATACTGACCAAGGTTTGGTATGCATCGACTATATGCTCAGTCACACATTACACACACAGAATTACAGAGGAGTAAACTGTGAACAAGGCTATCAACTTTGAAATGTTAATGCCCCACTTCTCATTTGTGCTTCACGCTTACCAAGAGTGCGTGAAAACACCGGCAGTGCAGAGCTCAGGATAAGCAGTGAAACACAGTTGGCGATTATCTGAAAAAAAAATTTTAGAGGTTACCATCTTTAGTGAAAACAACAGTTTCTGGATGAAATATGTGAACCTGCTGACCACCGGGTACCTGTGTGAGGTTGGTGTCTTGTGCACGAGGCAGGAGGCCAGTGAAGAGAGGGGAACTATAGAAGCCCACCACTGAGGACACCATCAGATAACTGAAAATAATTTTAAGGATAACAGTGGAAGGCAGAGTGGTAAAGAGCACCCAAGAAGAAGGCTACAAAAAAAATAAAAGGTGCTTCCAATGTGTGAATGTGACACAATGAGTCAACATCACCCACGCCCTGGTGAAATATCAAGGGCATCCTGGTGAGTGGCTGCGCCAAATGTAGACAACTAATTAACTCTATGTGCACCCAATTGTAAGCTGGGAGGATAAAAGGATACAGAATGAGAACTACTTGAACAGCAGCACCCAGTGAGCCAAACATCGAAAAGGAGGCCATCCCAAGGTGAGGGTCCTACAACACACAAAAATAACAATCCTCAATATATCATCACGACCAGCTGTAGCACATAAACCTTTAAAAGACGCATTTATTAATTCTGTTTTGGCAGAAACTCCACCTCCATTCCTCTGGGCATGGCTGTTTCATCCAGTAGCAACTCCAGCACGTTGAAACAGACCATCAGTACACACATCACCTACAGACACAAGAGACAATTACAAAATAATACTTTAAAAAACAAAGTAGAATTGATGCTTATATTGATAGTCATGCAAGTACCGTCAGTGCAAGAAGCACAAGCATTGCAAGCGGGTAGCCCAGGTTCCGCTGCCATGGGGACGCTTTCCTCCGCATCTCTGTGTGGAAAACAAAAAAGACAGAAAAGCAACAACAAATGACTACACTCTGTAATGACTGCGCGACAACTCCAGCAGAGAGACAGCCTGTTCAGCCAGTCTTACCCAGGGCGACGCGCTTACTCTGGACGGCTTGGTACTCTTTCTTCAGAGCCTCCATGTTCAGCTTGACCCAGCAGGATGTACTGCCACCTACAATCACACGCATGATGGTGGGAAGAAGAAGAAAAATATGTCAACCAGTTAATTTAAGGTTGAATATAAAAACAAATAAATGTAAGTAAGTAAGTAAAATTTATTTATATAGCGCTTTTCACAGATAAAAATCACAAAGTGCTTTACAACACAGGAAATGGAAATATAAAAATAAGATAACATTAAATAAAACAATGTAAAACTATAAAACTATAAAAACAGCATAAGAAGAAATTAATCAAATGCTGTTCTAAATAAAAATGTCTTCAGCTGTTTCTTAAAAGAATCAATGGAGTCCGTGCAGCGAAGAGACAGACACAACCGCGGTGTCACCGTGTGAAAAGCCCGATTACCACGAGTTTTAAAACGAGTGCGCGGTACCACCAGCAGTCTCTGGTCTAATGACCTTAAAGCCCGAGAAGATGAATGTGGTTTCAGCAGGTCAGATAAATATTGAGGAGCTTGAGCATGTAGGGCCCTAAAGGTTAGAACTAAAATTTTAAAATAAAACCTAACATTTACAGGCAACCAGTGAAGGGAGGCCAAGACTGGAGTGATATGTGATCTTCTCTTGGTGCCTGTTAAGAGACGTGCTGCAGCTTTCTGCACAGTCTGAAGACGATTTAAGGCTGATTTATTAAAACAGATAAAAAGGCCGTTACAGTAGTCTAAACGAGAAGAAATAAAAGCATGAATAATCATCTCAAGTTCAAGCTTTGATACCATCTGAGTTTAGAAATATTCCGTAAATGATAAAAACAGTTTCGGACCAGCTGCTCGAGCAACATCGAGCTGTCAAATATGACACCGAGGTTTCTAAGGCTTGATTTTACAGAAGGGTCTAAGAAGCTGATATGCTGCAATAATTAGAGTTTCTGTTTTATCAGAGTTTAGTTTGAGAAAATTGTCATTTAACCATTTAAATGTATTTATATAGCACCTTTCTACACTTAATGACCACTCCAGACTACACATTTTAACCACACCTTGATAAAGTACTTTTTCCTATAGTCTTCAAACACCTCACATCCACGGCCAATTCTGAATAACCAATTAACCTAACAGAGAGAAGTGACCAGAGGAAACGTTCTTGTGAACACGATCACCTACTTACAGTTGATTTTCCTGGAGAGAGAGTCTTCCTCAAATGTGGTGCAGCTCAGAGTATCTTCAACATCTTCCAGCAGCTAGAGAGGACAGGACCAGTCAGTCAATTCGATTTTTAATGAGTTCACAGGCACAAGTTGAAATGGTCACGTTCAGGTGTTCTGACACCACTGCAGTGAAATATAGCACAGACATTTAGGCCGTTCATAGCAGTTTTTCACTGCTATTTGGGAAAGTTCAACATGTTAAAGTAAAGCCACGATCAAACAATAGTACATACTGTTCTTTAAAGAGACTAGTATAAACCAATGATGTACATTTATTCTAAGTCATGGTGCTCTGCATTTTAATAGACGTTGGAAAACTTAATTAAACCTCAGAGGCATTAAACGGTTTTGGTTTCAGAAGCTTTTTAATTGTAATTGTTTACTAGCTATATGTAGCTTGCTCGTTTACTTTGTGTATTCCCTGACAAGTGTGCATCAACAGCATACTCAAAATTGATAATTCAGTATGCTTTCTTTAGTTGCATCTCATGTAATAAACACTACAAATTAACAACGTGATTGGAACCAGCAGGAAGTGTAGATTTTGAAGATGGAATAAGTTGTGTGAGAAGAAAAGTTGCACTGACTCAGTGGGTTTCTAGCATAGCTTTAGACAACTAGACTTGTTTAAATTCAAGACACTGAGCCTGTGACTCACCCGTGGTTTGACTAGCAGGCTGCCCGTTACACTGAACATTCGTGACAACCCTAAGGGAGTGCACACTGAGGAGAGAAGCACAGAGATGATGATATGCAAAAGCCATAGAAGCAGGTTTATACAGTGGGGCAAAAAAGTATTTAGTCAGCCACCGATTGTGCAAGTTCCCCCACTTAAAATGATGACAGAGGTCAGTAATTTGCACCAGAG